ACCCAGCGGGAGGAAGGCCGCCCTTGCCCGGGGTGCTGTCCCCCGTCTGGCCCAGCCCTCAGGCTCCCTCTACACAGGGCTCAGTGCCCCCTCCTGGGACCCAGGTGGGCCGGGTGGCGCTGGCCAACCCGCCTCCTGAGTGACCCTCCCTCCTGCGGACACCCTCTCAGTGGGTTAGATACGCACCTGCAAAGGCCCAGCTGCCTCCCCCACAGCGACCCCAGGGTGTCGATAACCTGAGCATGACCCCTGATATTCACCCCCCCTCCCAACAGAGGTCAGAGGACCTCCACCCTGGGGTCAGAGCCGAGGTCAGGGGCGAGGACCCTGGCTGTGTCCCACTTGGGCCAGGCCCCAGCCCCACCCCGGCCACTGGATGGAGACGTTGCCCCGGAGACGACACCTCAGGCCGTCCTGCAGGTGCTGAGGCTGGGGCAGGCCTGCTCCCCAGGACCCGGGGGCCTTCGGGGGCTCTGACGGGTGCGGGAGGCCCGGACGAGAGGGTGAACCCCACAGGCAGTCTACAAAGTGGGAATTCTCCTTTCGCTCGAGTCAGGCTACGCCGGGGCCCTGTGGTCCTGGGACCCAGCCTGTCCCTGTCCCGGTCCCTCCGCCTTGTGGCTCCACAGCCCAGAGCCACTGGCCGCGGCCACCCAGGGACAGGCCACCCAGGGACAGGCGCCCTCGATGCCCAGAGGGGCGGCTCCCAGGGACCCGCGGCTCCACCCTCACGTTCAGCCCTTCCCACAGGATTTGGGGGGCAGCGAAGAACCAGGGGGCCCCCCTGCTGCCTCCAAGCTTCCCGGGGTGTGGACCTGCACGGCCCCAGGGGGTGGGGGGGCGGGAGCAGCCTGCATCCTCAGGCCCCGCGGCCCCGTTAGTCCCCTGTAAGCCTGAGCATGAGGCCGAATGAATAGAGGGCTTTGGAGCCACACACGCCTGGCTTCCGGCCTCGGGTGACATTCCTGTGACCTTGGGGACGCTCTGGGTGCCCTCTGAGCCCTGCTCCCTCATCTGCACCAACAGGCCTCAGCCCCGCTCCGGCTGCAGTACTGGCGCCCACCGACAGGTGGCAGTGTCGGGCCAGCGAAGGGCCTGTCCTGGATTCCCTCCACTGGGCTCAAGTGCCCCCACCAGGAACCCAGAGGGGGGGGGGGTCAGGTGGCACTGGCCACGCCTGCTGGTGCCACCTGTAATCCCGTGGCACCCCCTCGGCTGTGGTCAAACCAGAGTGACATGTGATATGTGAGGGGGGGGGGTCATCTCTGCCGCCCCGTCCCCTCCATCTCCTGGCCTCCGCGTGGGCAGCCGGGCGAGGGCCCGTGGCCCAGACCCGACATGGGGGTGTCTACAGGGTGTAGGGAGCGCCCACGCCTCCTGGCGCCCTCACAGGACCCCCTGCCTTCCAGCCGCCACAGCCAGTCCTCAACCCCGAAGGGCTCATCCCGCCCCCTCCAGTCCTGTCCTGTTTGGTTTCCTCATGGCTCCGCCTGTAAACCGGGCGTCCAGATGTCCCCCTCCCCCCCTCCCATCCCCGTCTCCCTGGCAAACTCCTGCACCGGCTTCAGAACCCAGCTGGGGCCCGAGCCTCTGAGAACTCATCCTGCCCATCTTTCTCCTTCTGACCCTGACCCCCCCCCCCCCCCACTCCGTGATGGTACTGCGAGGACCAGTCCTCGGGAAACGCGATGTGGTTGGTGAGGGAAGGACAGCTGTCAGCCCATGTCCCGGGTCTGAGGACGTTGGGAAGCTGGTGAAGAGGCAGGTTTGGACCCTCCCCAGGCCTGTGCCGACCCCAGGCCCGTGCCGACCCCAGGCCCAGGTGCCTGGAGAGCTGCGTCCATCAGCAGCCCAGTGTTGCTCATGCAGGTAGGCTGGCAGCTCCCTATGGGGCAGGGAGGGCACCCTCCCTGGAGCCTGGCCCCTTCCCGTCCCTCTGGCCAGGAGGGCTCCACAGAGGAGTCCGGGCCACCAGCCCCACGAGCTGCTCCCACAGGAGGGCAAGGACGGCGGGTCCTCGGGGCTTTGGGGTCGGCTGCACCAGAGCAGCCAGGGTGGCTTCCTGGAGGTGGTGGCTCTGGGGCAGGGGTGAGACCTAGCCCGGGACACGGGGAGCCCAGGGCAGCTGGACGTCAGGCAGTGGGGGGCCCAGGAGTTTCTGGGAAGGAGCGAGCCGATGGCCACCCAGTAAGGCCATTGGCTGTTTTCCCTGAAATGCTCTGTCCTTCACTTTACAAATCACATTGGCTTGCGAGGGTGCTGGATGGATCGTGAGGGAGAAACCCGCCTGGGAGACAGTTTTCCCGTCTGTAAAGTGGGGACAATGACACGCGTGGCCCCCCGAGACACAGAGACCCTGCCCACGCACGTGTGTGTGTGTGTGTGTGTGTGTGTGTGTGTGTGTGTCAAAGACCCAGGGTTTGACAGGGACAGACAGACAGGGAGGGAAGTCTCCAGGTGGTGGAAGCTAATCGGGGAGTTAACCTGCGGCAGCTGGCGGGAGGGTCCGGCCCTTCTGTCCTGAGAAAGCCAGGGGGCCATGAGGACCCGAGGGTTCGCTCTGGGCCGGGCACAGGCTGTCCTGCAGGCTGGGCGGGTCAGTCCCGCCTCCTCATTAGGGTCTCCCCGCTCCCTCCCAGGGTCACCGTGAAGATTAACGCGGACAGCCCCCCAGGCTGGCTGCAGCCGGTACCTACCTGCGTCTGTCCTTGTCATTCCTGGAGATGGGGCCCGTCCAGGCCAGGGGGTGGGGCACCTGTTTTGGGGGCTGCTGGGGAGACTGCTGGGTTTGCCCTGAGGCTGGCGAATGTGAACCCGGAGACAGGCAGGAGCGGTGGTGCAGGCCGCTGGGGCCCGAGCCAGCACGCACCTTCTGCGCCTGCGTGAGAGGCGCCGCCTGGCCCCGCCCCGGAAGGGTCTGGCTGCACCAAGGCTTAAGGGGCTTGAATTCTCACCGGGCGCCCCCTCTGCGGAGGCTGAGAGAAATAAAGTCACGTGCCTCTTTCTAGCCACAGGCCCCGCCCCAGTGTGGGGGGCTGACACCTCCCTCCAGGTGATGGGGACACAGCAGGGGAGGCTGGAAGGAGACCCCTCAGGATGCTGAGCTGCACAGGTGCCTGGGCCACAGGGCCTGTCAATCATTGTCCTTTACACACTGTCAGGCCACGGTCCAGGGTCCAGGGTCCAGGATCGGGAGGCCCCACGCCCCTGCCAGGGCCCTGCTGTGACCCTCCTCCTCGGGGAAGGGTGTGTCCCTGCCGATGCCTATCAGACACCCACTTGCCTGCCTCCTGGAGGACACTGACCCACAGCTGCTGTCCCCCCGGCTCCTGGGAATCACCCCCAGACTGAGCCCCGGTGGGGCCTGGCCTCTGCGTTTGCTCCTGGCCCTTGTGCGTGAGGCTGATGCGCACACGGAGGCTGGCACGTGGGGCGGGGGCGGGGGGCACACAGCTCTGGGCCTAGGAAAACCCCTCTCCCCCGCCCCACCCCTGCGGGGTCTGAGGGTCCGGCGGAAGAGGGAGCCTCTTTGCATTTGCACGTTTTATTAAGATTTCCGACTCTTAAGTTATTTCTTTAACCGGAAGCATCTCTGGAGAGAACAGGCGCCGATGCACATACTGAGAAAGATCCTCCTCTTCCCTCTCCTGGACTCGAGCGCCCAGGCCCCAGCTCGCCAGCGGGAGGCGCTAAAGCCCCAGCCCTTGCCTTCGGGGCGCGCTCAGGGAAGGGGTGCTCCCACAGACACCTCGGGGCTCCTGGGCCTGTGCGCCCCCAACCCCGCGTCTCGGCTGGTGCCTCCT